ATAGGACAGCCTAGAAAAAGAAGTGCCCTCCTAACCATACTCAGGCACTTCGAATTTGTTGGCGATGTCCATTTGGCTCTAGGAGTTCATGGTGACCTAACCCTTACCCTAAGTGGAATTTTCCTCCAATTTGATTTTCCCATTTGTTTTGACAGGAAACATAGATAGGGCAGGCAAGAACAGTCAGTGCCCTCCTAACCATACCTAAATACTCAAAATTTTTTGGCGATGTCCATTTTGCTCTATGGTTTCATGGTGACCTAATTGGAATTTTCTTCCAATGGGATTTCCCCATGTATTTTACCAGGAAACATAGATAAGAGAAGCTGGAAAAGTAAGTTCTCTCATAATCATACCCAGGCACTCCGAATTTGTTGGCAATGTCCATTTTTCTCTAGGAGTTCATGGTGACCTAACCCTAACCCTAATTTGAATTTTCCTCCATTGGGATTTTCCCATGTATTTTACCAGGAAAAATAGATAGCACAGGTTAAAAAAGTCAGTGCCCTCCTAACCATACCCAGGCTCTCCGAATTATTTGTTGATGTCCATTTTGCACTATGAGTTCACGGTGACATAACCCTAATTGGAATTTTCCTCCAATGGGATTTCCCCATGTATTTTACCAGAAAACATAGATAGGACTGGCTACCAAAGTAAGTGCCCTCCTAACTATACCCAAGCAGTCTGAATTTGTTGGTGATGTCCATTTTGCTCTTTGACTTCATGGTGACATAACCCTAACCCTAAGTGGAATTTTCCTCCGATGGAATTTTCGCATGTATTTTAACAGTAAACAAAGGATGGGCATGTTAGAAGGGTCAGTGCCCTACTAATTATACCCAAGCACTCTGAATTTGTTGGTGATGCCCATTTTGCACTATGAGTTCACGGTGACATAACCCTAATTGGAATTTTCCTCCAATGGGATTTCCCCTTGTATTTTACCAGGAAACATAGATAAGTGAAGCTGGAAAAGTAAGTGCCTTCCTAACCATACCCAGGCATTCCGAATTTGTTGGCAATGTCCATTTTTCTCTAGGAGTTCATCGTTACCTAACCCTAACCCTAATTGGAATTTTCCTCCAATGGGACTTCCCCATGTATTTTACCAGGAAACATAGATAGGACAGGCTAGAAAAGTAAGTGCCCTCTTAACCATAGCCGGACACTCCAAATTTTTTGGCAATGCCCATTTTGCTCTTTCAGTTCATGTTGTCCTAACCCTAACCCTAAGTGGAATTTTCCTCCAATGGAATTTTGCCATGTATTTTACCAGGAAAAATAGATAGCACAGGTTAAAAAAGTCAGTGCCCTCCTAACCATACCCAGGCTCTCTGAATTATTTGTTGATGTCCATTTTGCACTATGAGTTCACGGTGACATAACCCTAATTGGAATTTTCCTCCAATGGAATTTCCCCACGTATTTTACCAGAAAACATAGATAGGACAGGCTACCAAAGTAAGTGCCCTCCTAACTATACCCAAGCAGTCTGAATTTGTTGGCGATGTCCATTTTGCTCTTTGACTTCATGGTGACATAACCCTAACCCTAAGTGGAATTTTCCTCCAATGGAATTTTGCCATGTATTTTACCAGGAAACATAGATAGGACAGGCTACTAGAGTAAGTGCCCTCCTAACTATACCCAACCACTCTGAGTTTGTTGGCAATTTCCATTTTGCTCCATGACTTCATGGTGACATAACCCTAACCCTAAGTGGAATTTTCCTCCGATGGAATTTTCGCATGTATTTTAACAGTAAACAAAGGATGGGCATGTTAGAAGAGTCAGTGCCCTACTAATTATACCCAAGCAATCTGAATTTGTTGGTGATGCCCATTTTGCACTATGAGTTCACGGTGACATAACCCTAATTGGAATTTTCCTCCAATGGGATTTCCCCATGTATTTTACCAGGAAACATAGATAGGACAGGCTAGAAAAGTAAGTGCCCTCTTAACCATAGCCGGACACTCCAAATTTGTTGGCAATGCCCATTTTGCTCTTTCAGTTCATGTTGTCCTAACCCTAACCCTAAGTGGAATTTTCCTCCAATGGAATTTTGCCATGTATTTTACCAGGAAACATAGATAGGACAGGCTACTAGAGTAAGTGCCCTCCTAACTATACCCAACCACTCTGAGTTTGTTGGCAATTTCCATTTTGCTCCATGACTTCATGGTGACATAACCCTAACCCTAAGTGGAATTTTCCTCCAATGGGATTTTTGCATGTATTTTAACAGAAAACAAAGAAAGGGCATGGTAGAAGAGTCAGTGCCCTACTAATCATACCCAGGCACTATGAATTTGTTGGTGATGCCCATTTTGCACTATGAGTTCATGGTGACATAGCCCTAACCCTAATTGGAATTTTCCTCCAATCGGATTTCCCCATGTGTTTTACCAGGAAACATAGATAGGACAGCCTAGAAAAAGAAGTGCCCTCCTAACCATACTCAGGCACTTCGAATTTGTTGGCGATGTCCATTTGGCTCTAGGAGTTCATGGTGACCTAATCCTTACCCTAAGTGGAATTTTCCTCCAATTTGATTTTCCCATTTGTTTTGACAGGAAACATAGATAGGGCAGGCAAGAACAGTCAGTGCCCTCCTAACCATACCTAAATACTCAAAATTTTTTGGCGATGTCCATTTTGCTCTATGGTTTCATGGTGACCTAATTGGAATTTTCTTCCAATGGGATTTCCCCATGTATTTTACCAGGAAACATAGATAAGAGAAGCTGGAAAAGTAAGTTCTCTCATAATCATACCCAGGAACTCCGAATTTGTTGGCAATGTCCATTTTTCTCTAGGAGTTCATGGTGACCTAACCCTAACCCTAATTAGAATTTTCCTCCATTGGGATTTTCCCATGTATTTTACCAGGAAAAATAGATAGCACAGGTTAAAGTCAGTGCCCTCCTAACCATACCCAGGCTCTCCGAATTATTTGTTGATGTCCATTTTGCACTATGAGTTCACGGTGACATAACCCTAATTGGAATTTTCCTCCAATGGAATTTCCCCACGTATTTTACCAGAAAACATAGATAGGACAGGCTACCAGAGTAAGTGCCCTCCTAACTATACCCAACCACTCTGAGTTTGTTGGCAATTTCCATTTTGCTCTATGACTTCATAGTGACATAACCCTACCCTAAGTGGAATTTTCCTCCAATGTGATTTCCCCATGTATTTTACTAGGAAAGATACAGTAGATAGGACACGGTAGAAAAGTAAGTACTCTCCTAACCATACCCAAGCACTCCGAATTTATGGGCGATGTCCATTGGTTCATGGTGACCTAACTCTATCCCTAAGTGGAATTTTCCTTCAATAGGATTTTTCCATGTATTTTACCAGGAAACATAGATAGGATAGGCTAGAATATTCAGTGCCCTCCTATCCATACCCAAGCACTCCGAGTTTGTTGGCGATGCCCATTTTGCACTATGAGTTCATAATGACCTAACCCTAACTGGAATTTTCCTCAAATGGGATTTTTCCTATGCATTTTACTAGGAAATATAGATATGGTATGTTAGAAAAGTCAGTGCCCTCCCAACCATACTCAAGCACTTCAAATTTTTTGGCGATGTCCATTTTGCTCTATGGGTTCATGGTGACCTAACTCTAAGTGGAATTTTTCCTCCAATGGGATTTTCCCATGTATTTTAAGAGGAAACATAGATAAGGCAGCCTAGAAATGTAAGTGCCCTCCTAACAATTCCCACGCACTCACAGTTTGTTGGCAATTTCCATTTTGCTGTATGGGTTCATGGTACTTAGATCACCTAGCTGTCTTATTTCAGAGAAGCCTAACAGAATTTTTTTGCTAGCCTTCTCCGTAAGGTAAACAGATCCAGAGGCATATACAAAATTGTTAAAATTGTGCTTCTCAAGACAAACATGACTATTATGGTAAGATGACTTATTCAAGTCACAAAATGATCTTCTGTGGTTAAGATATAGGATAGGATTTAATAGGATAGGATAGAAGCTGGAAAAGACCTTGGAGGTCTTCTAGTCCATCCCCTGTTCAAGCAGGAAACCCTATACCAAGGGTAAGCAACCTTGTCTCTTTTATGACTCGTGGACTTCAGGCTCAGGAATTCTGGGATTTGAAGTCCACGAGTCATAAAAGAGACAAGGTTGCTTACCCCTGACCTATACCATCTTAGACAAGTGACTGTCTCCTCACTGAAGGCGGAGCTCATCATAGAATGGCACTCTGGATATTGCTGAACTTCAGTTCCCAGCATCACTAGGAAGGATGAGTAATGTAAGATATAAAAGTAGGTCTCGACTTACAGCAGTTCACTTAGTGACTGTTCAAAGTTACAACCGTATTGAAAAAAGTGACTGTTACAGCATTCCCATGATCATGTGATCAACATTCAGATGCTTGGCAACTGACTCAGATTTATGACGGTCACTGTGTTCCAGGGTCATGTGGTCACCTTTCACAACTTTCTGACAAGCGAAAGTCAATGGGGAGGCCAGATTCACTTAACCATGTTACTAATTTACCAACTGCATTGTTTCACTTAACAACCGTGGCAAGGACGTTTGTTAAGTGGGGCAAAATTCACTTAACAAATGTCAGACTTAGCAATAGAAATTTTAGACTCAATTGTGGTTGTAAGTCAAGGACTACCTGTACTTAGCCTGGATATCTACAGCGAAGGTGAACTGATGAAATGTGCATGGCATCATCACACAAATACAATGTGTATTTTTATTAGTGGCTTTTAAGGATAGAAAGAATATTCACACTTTTAAAGGCTGGGAGCCTGAGAACACTGTGGCTAGACAAGAAAACAAACCATTAATCCAGATTCCTCTGTATTTTTACAGGCTGCCTGCTGAGCTAGTGAATTCAGTCATTTGCCTAGTCCAGACTTCCTGGATTGTATGTTTTAAAGCCTCCACAGAAATTTTCATCGCTCAGCGTAAAATATTAAGCAAGAACACGCACACTCATCGAGGAAAATTGGTCATGTCCAAACTTTATTAGTGTTGAGGTAGCCTTCCTTCTTGTGAAGAAGTTGGGTGAGATATTTGCAGAGTTGCCCTGCTGAAGTTTCGATTTTATTGACATTTGTTTAACTACAGCAAGCAGAAGAGCAGCAAGCAAATACATTGTTCTCAGTGTCGTCATTGTCATCCAGCAGCCAAAGTCAGTGGCAGAAGTTATGATGGGGAGGGGAGGAAGCATGTGAAGGGACCCGAAGGGCTGGTGCTTTGTTAATTCACCGGGGGGGGGGGGCATGAAAAGAAGGCCATGTGGGGGAGCTGGGTTCTGTATAAATCCCCCCCTCCACCCATAGTATAAAATGAGGCTGTTGATGGTACATATGGCTTGCTTAGGGTGAAATGGGGATTGGCAAGAAGCCGCAGCAGCAAATGCACAGTAAGCTGTAGTGAAATTTGCTAATAGTGCCTCATGTTTGCCACTTACTGCTTCTCCCCTAGTGCTGGGAGAGAGAGAGAGAGAGAGAGAGGGAGGGAGAGGGGGAGGGAGAGGGAGAGGGAGAGAGAGAGAGCTCCTTTAACCATCCTGATTTAGTTGGGTTGCTGAAGCGTCTCGTCAACAATACATGGATTCATTTGGCTGTGCTTAGTGCCCGAGGTAACCATCAGGCTATAGATCCAGTCACAGATGGGTCTTCGAAGAGACTAAGGATGCACGTTCTAAATGAGGGAGACAAACACACACACACATATATACATGTGTATATATACATATATAAATGTTAATGCTTGTTTTTTTCAAAATCAACTTTTTATACACAACTCAATGATGTGCTTGGAAACAATACACTGGCATGCTAATAGCAATAGCACTTAAGACTTATATACTGCTTCACAGTGCTTTACAATCCTCTCTATGCGGTCTGCAGAGTCTGCATTTTGCCCCCAACCATCTGGGTCCTCATTTTACCATCCTCAGAAGGATGGAAGGCTGAGTTAACCTTGAGTCGGTCAGAATCGAACTCCTGGCAGTCGGCAGAATTAGCCTGCAATACTGCATTCTAACCCACTGCGTCACCACGGCTGTCATGGGGTTCTACTCATTCCCTGTGTCCCTAAAGAATAGAAATACCCCAGTCTTCCTTCCTTCCTTCCTTCCTTCCTTCCTTCCTTCCTTCCTTCCTTCCTTCCTTCCTTCCTTCCTTCCTTCCTTCTAGTGATTGAATGCCTGGGCTTTAGAGGTTACACAAGGGTTTTTTCCCTCCTTAAAAATACAATGATTCAGGAAGGCCACAGTAGCTAAAATGCTGGTTTAGAACAATGCTATAATGAAGCCCTTCTGCACAGATCTGTCCCCTTTCACTTTCCCCACAAAATAATGCAAGATAGCCAAAACTCAGCTATGAAATATTAGATCCGATTATGTGTTTAAAATCAGATAAAGGGGCCATTTGCAGATGCCTGCTGTTTTCATTATTCTGACAAAAACTGTGTCGCAGCATTCCACCGCAAGCTTTGCTTTTTTGGGACATGTGTGTGACATTTGCTACAAACATAGAAAATGAGGAGGCTTGCATCACAATGCTGTTATTTCATCAGACAAACCTCTCTCCCCTGTGAACACTACTGATCAGATATCTTCTGATCAGCTGAATCCAGTCCAAAAATCCTTCCTGGTTCTATTTTTCAACAACTACCAACTGTGTTATGATGGACAAGAGGGAAGAAGGAAGAATGAACTGAAAATGTGTTCATGTTCCATATGCCTTGTCCCCTACTCATTTGATACTAAGCTCTTGGGCTCCAAATCACAATGCTTACGCTGAATGGAGGAGGAGGATGGGAGTAAGAAGTATGCTCCTAACATTGCCTGTCCAGGGGGGGGGATCTAGAATCCTATCAAACAAGGCATTGTTTTATTCATGATCATTTCTCCAGTGTGTTATTTATATTAAGAATTTCACATTTTTCCAAATGACTTTCATTGGTCAAGCAACCCCATTGGAAGGTTTTTAATATTGGATCTATAATGTGTGATCATCATTACTTCTCGTACTGAAAAACAATTTCAAATTCTATTGATTTCAGGATGAGAATTCAATGGATGCTTAATTGTTCCCACTGAAATTCATGGAACTTTACAACATGGAGCATCCTGCTTGACTGATTACAACTTTAGCAGAATATTAGGAATCTATAGGCTTTCTGCTTTTTTTTTTTTTAAGTGAGTTCATCAGTGGACTTTTCAATCATCCTTTAAAAGAGGAGGAACAACAGAAAATGCCACAAAAATAGAATCAAACAATGATACCTAAGATGTTACAGATAGACTTCTCTTAACGACCACAACTGGGACCAAAATCTGTTGTTGAGCAAAGTGGTCATTAAGTGAGATATCCTGTGACCAGTTCACTCAATGACCACAATCCCAGTTGTAATTGTTGAGCAATCTCATAGGTTTGCTAAGCTAAAACACTCCCCCCCCCTTCCTGCACAAGCATGAAGTCGTAAGGAGAGAAGACACTGACAGAAGGGTTTTGCATTTTAACACTCTAAAATCTGTGTGCAGGCATGGAGAGGCAGAGAGCTTTTAGTATGTTAAAATCCTTATCTTTCTGACTCTGTGCTTTCTCCCCTGTGAGGGTATCCTTCTGCGGAAACTGGCAGAGACGAGTCATAAATCAGCCTTTCTAAGACTAACACCAATCATTAAGTAGGGACACCCTGTACTGAACTACAATTCTTAGGATTTCTGCTTATTTGCCATACACCAGCAGGGTTTGTTGCAAATCTTAATTCAGCCACATCAAAATGGTCACAAGTGATGTTTTCATGCGTTGATTGCCATTGATCTTATATTTTGTTTCCTTTCTAGCCTACATCAGCATACATTATATTGACAAACATTTTTTCTATCACAGATCAGCTAGCTGACCACAGAAGGTGATCATTAATATAGTTCTTCACAGAGACCTTTCAGGTTTCTCCCTGTTGTTGGACTAATGGTTCTGAAGTCTGATTTGAGAGCTGAGTAGAGTTACAGTCAGGGATAGGCAACCTTGGCTCTTTTATGACTCGTGGACTTCAACTCCCAGAATTCCTGAACCAGGCTGGCTCAGGAATTCTGGGAGTTGAAGTCCACGAGTCATAAAAGAACCAAGGTTGCCTACCCCTGGTTACAGTGAAGCAAAAGGTGGAACATTCACTCCCCTACCCAATTATTTTGTCTGAAATAAGTGTATCACTTCTTATTGGGTAAGGGAGGCTGAGAACTGCAAAATGAATTTTGGGAGCCCCAATTGTACAAGACCTGGTCTTATATTGTGCAACCACTCTGCCAGCAGAAGCAAGATGGACACAATTAGAGAGCAAACAAAAGTGGAAGAAACTGCAAGAATCAAACTGGAGAACAGCAGTGGTTTTATTCTCATCCCATACTTTTAAAACTCTATCTGGCTTTGGTAACAATACCTGTTATTTCACAAACCATTCCAAGCATTTTAGTTCTATTTCCATTTGTTTTCTAATAATAACCACTAGATATTGGAGTACGAGATGACTGAAGATTCCCAAGATCATCAGACTGCACAATGAATGGCAGCATGATAGGGATGGCTGGCTGGATGGAATATTCTAGTGATCAATTGTACTGTATTATATATGAATGTAACACCTTGTCTGCAACTCCTTAAAGCAGCCATATCTTTTCCTAGGATCTTTATCCCAGAAAAAGATGCAGTTGCTTTAAAAATTGCAGGCAGATAATACCTTCTTCTTTCTATGAAGAACCATTTGGAATTCCAAAACACTGCCCATCCCTAATATGAAACTATTTGCACAACCATGATACGGAAACAGAACAGAGTGCTAAAATACAGAGAGGAATACAGGCATTTTCTTCAAAATGTCATGACTTGGGGGGATAGAGCTATATCCAAACAAGGTGAGCAGTGGCCAGGTGGGTCCTGGGACAAGCTTGATTCTGCACAACATCGCCACAATGTCATTGCTGCAGAAAGGCCTGCAGGGAGAGCTTTTTGGGAGCAGTGTCCCACCTGGATATAGATTCTTGCTTGAGTAGCCTTTCTTTCACAACTATGATCAGAACCTAAAAATTCCAATATCTGAGCCTCTGCTTTGAGATTTACGATAAATGCTGGCATAACCAACCTCTTGTATTTTTTCTGTCTTGTCTACTAACCCTACCCAGCCATTTGGAAGCTCTGACACTTGATACTTCAACCTAAGAGTGCTTTATTGCTTCATCCATAGGTCCTTGACTATTGAACAGAGAACTGTGCTCTGTACCTTAAATCTTGGATTGGGCCATGTGTACGTCTGCCTTTAGCTGATACATTCTAGGGTGAATGAACATCATAATGCTAACCTTGGGCTGTTGTTCTTTGCAGACTCAAGACCTGGACTAAAAAAACCCCCAAAACTATGCATTCAGTATAGACAAAGTAATATCTGGCTATGTTTATGTACTTACTAAGAGACTAAAAGTAGGATTTAACCAAGTTAAATGAAATGAAAAGGATGTATAAAAATAATGGTGATAATAATTGGGAAGGATTCAACAGCAAGACAAAAATGCCAAATTCAATCTGAACATCTGGCTGACTCTGCAACAAACCATAATAATATTCCTCAGGCTAAAAATCCAATGAATTTGGTGAAAAACTACTTACATTACAAATTTTAAAGCAAATAGAAAATGCAAGAGGCTAATGCACTACAGTGGCATGCAGTTTGTTTACTACTGAGGTTCTCGAATGTCTTAAGTTCCTTACACCTCCTGGAAAAGCATTGGAAAAGCTTCCAATGATGTTTGACTTAGAGCTTCAATGAAAATATCCAGTATAGAGCATGAATCACTGTGAGAGACAAAGATTAAAGTCCTCTTACTTAGTTTCAGACATGTATCAGAGTGCCTTGGTTCTGAACTTCAAATTTAAAAAGCCATTTAGGCCATAACCATAGCCCACTGAACAAATTGGAACCTAATTTTAGAGTTGTCATCAGCCATGAGAATTTCAAAGCAATTTTCCAATTTATCCTATGGTCAGTTTTAGTTCTTGTAAGTGCTGATTCAATAGAGTGCAAAACTCTGCTATCAATCAAAATTTCGCAGACTACATAAAATGCACATCCTGTGTGACATTTATTTAAAATTAAGTTCTCAAAGTCATAGGAAGGGTGATAAATTTCCGCATCCCACCTTTTTATTAGGGAATCCTCTAAACATCTAAAAAATAAATCTAATCTTTTAAAAACCTTACAGCAATATTTATGGGATGCCAGTCCACTCATTTTTCTTTCCTTTTTGTCTCTATTAGCAATTTTGTCATGAAAAATGGTGGTCTTTATTAATTTTTAGACATGTAAGGTACTTAATCTAAGTAAATGTTAAGTAAAATTCTGAGAAAAAACGGCTTTAGTCATTTAATCACACATAATTTTTTGGTCATTATATTTTGCTCCCCTTAAATGGTGTTTCAGACTTTCATACATTTGAGACATTAAAATTTTCTTCCTAAACATATTTTCATTTAAAAAGAAAGCAATGGACAGCACACTAGTCACATTTTCCCCTTTTCAATAAGATTATCAAAGCTGACCTATAAAAAGTCTAAATGATCACCAGGCGGCAGCAAAGAGATATAAAAACATATAATCCTTTACTGCCTGCCACCTAGTGGCTCTTTGGAGTTTTGCTT